TCTTCATATGTATTCGTTGTTCAGATTCCCACTCTGACATGCATGTCACATTAACGTCAATTAGATGTCAATTGAGAATTTTGTTGACCTTTTTGAAGGTCGACCAATTTGATTTTCCGACTTCTCCCAAATCACAAAAAAAACCTTATTGACCTACTTTCGAAAAAAAAGTTTTTTTTGGCTTTGACCAAAAAATGTGTTTTTTTTGGCGCGCCCACCTCAAAATAAGTGAAAAAAAGAAACGTTTTGTTCATGAAATTGTAGATTAAAAATAATTCTTGCTAAAAGTGTATAATCATTGCTAAAACAAAGTAAAATGAAATAATCGAAGGACATCTTACCTTAAAATGATTTAAATAGCAAAAATTATTATCTGTCAGAAAAAATTGAAATTTATTCCATTTAAGCTTTCCTTAGGCAACTGATGATTTAACTTAAGGTCAATTTTATAATAAAATCATCTCAATTTTTGTTGCATTATATGTTACAGGGTTCGCGCGTGTTTTATGATCTTGCCTGTTGTTTCTAGTTGCTACAGCTCTCATAAAAATGATTCTACTTAAAATTCAATTTTAAATTGCTGTTTGAAGACGAGTGTTTTTGTAGAATATTGTTCTTTAAATTGATGATTTTGTTGATCTACTTGATTTAGGCTGGTAAAAATTTCTTTCGAATTTGCCAAAAATGGCACAAAATTTTTAGGTCTAGGAAAAACTTAAGCTGTAAAATTTCATATTTTCACTTCAAATCTGAGAAAAGGAAAAAATCGTGTTTAAGATAGTTACAGCATGTTTATACAACCCAGCCTAACTGTTTCTCAATCGAAGTTTCGATAATTTTGTAATCCATTGAGTAAAGTTACCGGGTAGCGTAAATGGCTCATGAAACGTTTTTCACTAGCGGCAAATTGGTGTTTATTTGCTAACGGTTTTGTAAAGTTGTTAAGTTTTAATACCGCATGGTGTTTTTTATATTATGCAGTTTTGTTTCCTAATAATTGTGTTTTTTTGATTTCCAACCTGAGTTTGTATTGATAAACATTGATTTTTGCCGTCTTTTGCTCCAAAAATGTTTTTTCAAATCAACCAGTTTTTTGAAAAAATTTTTGTATTTTCAAGTTTGGTTTTTCAGAAAATGTATTTGATGGTGTCAATTTCCTTTAAGAGATTAAAAAAGGAGGCAGCAACAATTTTCTTATACTAACTAGCTTTCAAATGATTCAGTACATTTTGAAATGCGGTTATGTCTATGATTGAATATGACTACCAAAGTTTTTTTATGGGCGGTACTTCCTAAACTTAACATACTCAATCAGGAGCGGATTTAGGGGGGGCGGGGTGGGGCGGACGCCTTCCCTTTCAGGGATTCGAACCCCTGCCAACCCAAAGGGTCCCCCTTTGGTACTTTTTATGAAATTCATTTTTGGCCGACCGACCCTAAAATTTTTCTAAAGGCGCCTTCGGCGCCAATATATACAAATTGTGAGGGGGAGCGCGCCAAAAAAACGCGTTTTTTTTCTCAAAATTTTCCAAAAAGTGCCCAAAAACGGCCTTTTTGACCTGTTTTTTCAAAAAATTGCCTACGGCGCAGAAAATTTGGCCAAAACAGGGTCTTTTTACTGCTTTGGGAGAGCTCGGAAAATCAATCTGATCGACCTAAAAAAAAAAGTTCGAAAGTTTTTTGAAAAGCAGGCCCCCCCCTCGAGAAAATCCTAGATCCGCCTCCTGTACTCAATGATTAGGCATGAAAGTTGTTTGAATATAATAAGTACTCCCATTCCGATATATCACAAAGAGAAAAAATTTTTTTTTTTTTTCGCTTTCTAATGATGTAAAAAAACTAAGAACGAAAGTTTTTGTTCGGGTAATTTACTTTGAGAATGTTCTAAATTTGTAGTTTAACCGGATAGTAGTTTAATAAACTCCGGTTTTTATATCTCCAAAAAAAATTTTTTCGAAGCAGGGACATTTCCTTTCAAATTTCAATTTTTTGAAACATTGATAATTTTCCAGCGCTGCTGATCTTTTCTCCGGGTGTCCTAAAGTTTTCGATGAAAAAATCATCATCTAGATGTATTTAGGTTTATCCCTTCTAACAATATACTTTTGTTTACTTATTTTACTGGTGGTTCACAAGATTTAAAACATTGCACGACGTTTTCATTAAGAATTTGGAACAATTCTTTTGGAGTCTTAAAGTTTCATAGAAAGACTTTCAATCCAATTTCATCGATTCGTTATTAAGATTTTATCTCTACAGTTTGTTTTATTATAGACTCTATGCTGAAAAGGCTAAAGTTTTTTGTGGAAATTATGTAAGTAAAAATAAAATATTTGTTTGATGTTTCCAATGCAGAGTAATCACTGTTTAGGTAAACAAACAAAAAATAAAATAATTGAGTTTGTGTCAAATCACTTTTTTCTCTTTGAAAACAATTACAGTTATGATCACATAAGAGAATAATCGATTCATTCAAGGTTTGAACAAGAATAAAAAAATAATTCAGCGAATTTTTCGAGGAAGTAAATTTTCTGGGATCTGTTTGGATTATAAGCCAAACTTATACGAACTGAATTTGTTTATTCTTCTGCAGGAGGGAACTACTTCGACCAGAGTTTTCCATACTTCTACCCGAGTGTATCTATCTACATCAGTTCTCATGTTTAGGAATCAATTACATCGCACCTCTGCCCCTTGACTTATTTGGGTCGATTCATTGTTTCTATCGCATCTAAATGCGACAAATTTTGCAAAGTTTAGCTCCCATTTGTTACCATTCTTTGTTTTCTTCGGCCAAGTTTCGCTAAATTTGAAAAAAAATTTGTCGCCTAGTGTTTTGACTAAGATTTTTAAACGTGTGGTTTTGTTACAGAGACTTCGGCAGTTTGAGTATAAAATTTTCAGGTTGTTCTGATAGATTGTTTTTCAGACTTTTTTATAGCAAAAGTTGGGATCGCCCGCAAATTTCATCAAATGACCCAGCCATAACATAACGGTTACTGGGCGCAAAATTATAAATTAACTAAAGATTTTGCGAGTTATTTAAAATCAGATGAAACTGTTCGAGGTGTGTTACCTATAAGTAACGAATCAGGACATTTTTGAATGAAAATTGACCTCATGCTATCTTTAGTACTAATGCATTTATTTCCGAGCATTTTTTCGCGGTTGGAATAAGGAATCAAGCTTAAATAACCAACGCAGTTTAGTCACACCACCGGATTATCAACATGTACAGGAAAGTTCTACTGTACTCAAACCAGATCGAATTGGATAAAAACTCATTTGATATGGAAATCAGATTTGTACTAAGACCGCATGAAAACTTACAAAACCCCACATCAACGCAAATAAAAGACAAAGTTGAGAAAAATGACAACCACAAAAAACAATTGACAACTAGCCTCACTCACCAGTAACAGACGTCCTGAGACCACTCTCACCACCCGCGCTACAACACGCTCAGAACCAACGAACTCCATTTTTCTTGAGGGTAGCTTTAGGCTAAAAACTCATTAAAACAACCGCATTAAATAGAAGCCTGTGCAAAAAACTACTAATATGATCATAACTAAAACTGAATGACTAAAGTGCAGAGATAAGTCCGTTTAGATTTTACAGAGCGTAATACACGAGCAGCAAAAGGGAGATGAACACTCGACGAAACTCCTATAATCGAAAAGCAAACCTATTGGTTTTGCTCGCCGATGTCACTACAACCCTCCTCAATGGATATAAAATAAGGAGGTGATATCGCCGCAAAGATAACAATTGAAACCGAAAAATGGCCAACTCGATGTCAAAATTCAAACATACGTATCTTTGTCATCTGGCGCTTCACTCAGAGAAGTTAATCTTTTATCTCGCCACCCGATCGATTGCAGAAGAAATTTGAGAATGCACGTAGTCTCGCATTGACTTACGAAATCGACACTCATAAGACACAAGTCTGCACTTCAATACGATCATTACAACATTCCCGGATTCATGACAATCATTCAACATCATCACATGTACTTAGCAAGCACGTTCAATCTACACTCTGTATAATTTTCTCAAAGAATTTAGAATCTCGAAGGCACTAAATTCATCCCTCACAAGGATCACATTGGTATAAAAAAAATCCCTAAACTCCGGATAAGTGCAATCAGCTTAAAACAAATATTTTTTTATACTTTCTTTTGATGTTTCTCAATGTAAAAAATCATTAATGAACCAATCAAGATCTATGACTAAAACCTACGATAAATTGTAAAGCTGAAACGATTCATAGTTCCAGTCAGAGAGTAAAATAAAAAATATACGAATCAGTTGCTTTCTTCTTTCCTCTAACTTCGCAACAAACCAGTACATCTCTAGATCTGGTGTAAGATTCGGATTGGTATTAAAAATAACAAGAAGGCAAACAATCAAAGGATCTGAATTTAGAACTTAGTGAAATAAATAAAAAATGCATCTTCGAAAGCAAAAGACAGATAAATTCGACTAGCCGAGTTTTTTGAGTAAAGAAAGATTTACAATTATGAGGCACTTAGCATAGTGGTAAGGCGCTCACTCTGAAATCGTCCGAACGTGTAATTGATCCCATGCCAAGACAGTGATAGTGTGTGAGGACGAGCTCTCACTTGACCTCTAGCTTCATTTCTACCACAGCCTGACCAATTTTGGCTGCAATAGTGGTACCACTTGAAAGTTCTAGACGCAAAAAAACGGCCTTGAGTCGCAAAATAGAGAGCTTCGCTCAACAAAAATAACATAGTCTGGAATGTGGGGAGATAATCGAAATAGAGTATCCTCGACAGAATTGGTATGGTATACTGATAGCTCCTCAGCGATTATATATATACTTTGGGAAGTTTTACATCATCAGTCAAAATTGTCCAAAATTGTCCAAATTGTTCGAAAGTCTAAACGAGTACTTGGTTGAAAAAAAATCACCGGAACCAAAACTTAATTGCAAACTGACATCATTAAAATGCAGCTACGCTTTCCATTTTGAAATGACAAGTTTTAAATGACAGTTTCTGATAATTCCAAAAAATCTTGAAAAAAATTGCTGTGCTTTTGTAAATTTTTTCCTTTTTTTCCAGAAATAGCTGATCGAGTTCAATTCGGAATTCCGGAGAAGCTAAAAGGCAAGTATGAAGAAAAACTGTTCCAGTTTTCCAAAATAATTGAGGAGATAGAAAAGATACCTGACAATGGTGACTCATTCAAGCCAGCAAAGGGGCGGGACAAGGGCCACAGGCCGACAGGGGGTGAGAACAGCCACAATCAGTGGGCGTGGAAATGCAACATCAGCCATGAAGGGAACCGGTACGTCTTTTTTATCAACAAATCAAAAATCGATTTGAAAATTTTTCCCCCTTTCAAAATAGGGGTAGATTTTTAAGTAGATTAAGTAAGTTTTCCGGTTGCACTAAAATTACCAATGTCGACTCTTCTCTAAAAGTTTCCCGAAATATTTAGTCTTCATATGTATTCGTTGTTCAGATTCCCACTCTGACATGCATGTCACATTAACGTCAATTAGATGTCAATTGAGAATTTTGTTGACCTTTTTGAAGGTCGACCAATTTGATTTTCCGACTTCTCCCAAATCGCAAAAAAAACCTTATTGACCTACTTTCGAAAAAAAAGTTTTTTTTTGGCTTTGACCAAAAAATGTGTTTTTTTGGCGCGCCCACCTCAAAATAAGTGAAAAAAAGAAACGTTTTGTTCATGAAATTGTAGATTAAAAATAATTCTTGCTAAAAGTGTATAATCATTGCTAAAACAAAGTAAAATGAAATAATCGAAGGACATCTTACCTTAAAATGATTTAAATAGCAAAAATTATTATCTGTCAGAAAAAATTGAAATTTATTCCATTTAAGCTTTCCTTAGGCAACTGATGATTTAACTTAAGGTCAATTTTATAATAAAATCATCCCAATTTTTGTTGCAATATATGTTACAGGGTTCGCGCGTGTTTTATGATCTTGCCTGTTGTTTCTAGTTGCTACAGCTCTCATAAAAATGATTCTACTTAAAATTCAATTTTAAATTGCTGTTTGAAGACGAGTGTTTTTGTAGAATATTGTTCTTTAAATTGATGATTTTGTTGATCTACTTGATTTAGGCTGGTAAAAATTTCTTTCGAATTTGCCAAAAATGGCACAAAATTTTTAGGTCTAGGAAAAACTTAAGCTGTAAAATTTCATATTTTCACTTCAAATCTGAGAAAAGGAAAAAATCGTGTTTAAGATAGTTACAGCATGTTTATACAACCCAGCCTAACTGTTTCTCAATCGAAGTTTCGATAATTTTGTAATCCATTGAGTAAAATTACCGGGTAGCGTAAATGGCTCATGAAACGTTTTTCACTAGCGGCAAATTGGTGTTTATTTGCTAACGGTTTTGTAAAGTTGTTAAGTTTTAATACCGCATGGTGTTTTTTATATTATGCAGTTTTGTTTCCTAATAATTGTGTTTTTTTGATTTCCAACCTGAGTTTGTATTGATAAACATTGATTTTTGCCGTCTTTTGCTCCAAAAATGTTTTTTCAAATCAACCAGTTTTTTGAAAAAATTTTTGTATTTTCAAGTTTGGTTTTTCAGAAAATGTATTTGATGGTGTCAATTTCCTTTAAGAGATTAAAAAAGGAGGCAGCAACAATTTTCTTATACTAACTAGCTTTCAAATGATTCAGTACATTTTGAAATGCGGTTATGTCTATGATTGAATATGACTACCAAAGTTTTTTTTATGGGCGGTACTTCCTAAACTTAACATACTCAATCAGGAGCGGATTTAGGGGGGGCGGGGTGGGGCGGACGCCTTCCCTTTCAGGGATTCGAACCCCTGCCAACCCAAAGGGTCCCCCTTTGGTACTTTTTATGAAATTCATTTTTGGCCGACCGACCCTAAAATTTTTCTAAAGGCGCCTTCGGCGCCAATATATACAAATTGTGAGGGGGAGCGCGCCAAAAAAACGCGTTTTTTTTTTCTCAAAATTTTCCAAAAAGTGCCCAAAAACGGCCTTTTTGACCTGTTTTTTCAAAAAATTGCCTACGGCGCAGAAAATTTGGCCAAAACAGGGTCTTTTTACTGCTTTGGGAGAGCTCGGAAAATCAATCTGATCGACCTAAAAAAAAAAGTTCGAAAGTTTTTTGAAAAGCAGCCCCCCCCCTCGAGAAAATCCTAGATCCGCCTCCTGTACTCAATGATTAGGCATGAAAGTTGTTTGAATATAATAAGTACTCCCATTCCGATATATCACAAAGAGAAAAAATTTTTTTTTTTTTCGCTTTCTAATGATGTAAAAAAACTAAGAACGAAAGTTTTTGTTCGGGTAATTTACTTTGAGAATGTTCTAAATTTGTAGTTTAACCGGATAGTAGTTTAATAAACTCCGGTTTTTATATCTCCAAAAAAAATTTTTTCGAAGCAGGGACATTTCCTTTCAAATTTCAATTTTTTGAAACATTGATAATTTTCCAGCGCTGCTGATCTTTTCTCCGGGTGTCCTAAAGTTTTCGATGAAAAAATCATCATCTAGATGTATTTAGGTTTATCCCTTCTAACAATATACTTTTGTTTACTTATTTTACTGGTGGTTCACAAGATTTAAAACATTGCACTACGTTTTCATTAAGAATTTGGAACAATTCTTTTGGAGTCTTAAAGTTTCATAGAAAGACTTTCAATCCAATTTCATCGATTCGTTATTAAGATTTTATCTCTATAGTTTGTTTTATTATAGACTCTATGCTGAAAAGGCTAAAGTTTTTTGTGGAAATTATGTAAGTAAAAATAAAATATTTGTTTGATGTTTCCAATGCAGAGTAATCACTGTTTAGGTAAACAAACAAAAAATAAAATAATTGAGTTTGTGTCAAATCACTTTTTTCTCTTTGAAAACAATTACAGTTATGATCACATAAGAGAATAATCGATTCATTCAAGGTTTGAACAAGAATAAAAAAATAATTCAGCGAATTTTTCGAGGAAGTAAATTTTCTGGGATCTGTTTGGATTATAAGCCAAACTTATACGAACTGAATTTGTTTATTCTTCTGCAGGAGGGAACTACTTCGACCAGAGTTTTCCATACTTCTACCCGAGTGTATCTATCTACATCAGTTCTCATGTTTAGGAATCAATTACATCGCACCTCTGCCCCTTGACTTATTTGGGTCGATTCATTGTTTCTATCGCATCTAAATGCGACAAATTTTGCAAAGTTTAGCTCCCATTTGTTACCATTCTTTGTTTTCTTCGGCCAAGTTTCGCTAAATTTGAAAAAAAATTTGTCGCCTAGTGTTTTGACTAAGATTTTTAAACGTGTGGTTTTGTTACAGAGACTTCGGCAGTTTGAGTATAAAATTTTCAGGTTGTTCTGATAGATTGTTTTTCAGACTTTTTTATAGCAAAAGTTGGGATCGCCCGCAAATTTCATCAAATGACCCAGCCATAACATAACGGTTACTGGGCTCAAAATTATAAATTAACTAAAGATTTTGCGAGTTATTTAAAATCAGATGAAACTGTTCGAGGTGTGTTACCTATAAGTAACGAATCAGGACATTTTTGAGTGAAAATTGACCTCATGCTATCTTTAGTACTAATGCATTTATTTCCGAGCTAAATGGATCTTCTTTTCTCTAGCCCCCGAGATGGAGAATGTCTCAACTCGAGAGAACAGGAGAAGCTGAGAGGTAAGACTGTGGCAATAAAAGACTCTATCGCAGTGGCCGGGGTTCCAATGACATGCGGAAACTCAAGTCTAAAGGTAAATCTAGAGATAAACAAGAATAGCTGGTCACTGTGCAAGGAGCACATAATGCTTCAATCAAAAATCAAATAAAATGGTAAATTGTGTTCGCATTTGTTTTTTCATTATAATATTTTTTATGACATCCGTTTTCGCCAATCAAACCTAAAATTTTTCGGCGCCAATATGTTTTTGAAGGGGACCGCGCTGTAAAAAATTTTTTGGCTAAAATAGTCAAAACGGCATTATTGACAGTTTTTTTTAAAGTTTACCTGCTGCGCATAAAAATTATGCCAAATTAAGGACTTCATCTTGTTCTGGGAACACTTGGAAAACCCATTTGGCTGGCCTAAAAATGTTTTCGAAAGTTTTTGAAATTCCGTGAAGGAGAAAAAAAATTCGAAAAGTTAGAACTTGATATATCAAAAAACAGTTACCAAAAATTATTTCTTGTATTTGATTTTGCATTTAGTATTATTATGATTATTATGATTATGATTATTATGATTATCATTGTAATCATTATTTTTTCTTTTATGGTTATTATTGTTATTAATATTATTATTATGATTATTTTTATCATTAATATGATTATTACATTTTGCATTGTTACATTTTGCATTTTTACATTTTGCATTTAAATTTTGCATTTGGTATTATTTTGATTATTATGATTATGATGATGATTATTATGATTTTTATCATTATTTTTACTATTATGATTATAATTATTATAATTATAATGATTATTTTAATCATTAATATGATTATTATTGTTGCTATAATTATTGGTCCGACCATTGATAATGAGAGGAAATTTAATTTTGTTCGTGTTTTCCTGCAAATTGTTGTTCTTTGGTTTAATTACAAGCAGATAAAGCCAGCGAGCAGTCGTTTACAATAGGTTAACGTGCTTTATTTCAGTTTCACGCGAGTTAAATTAGTTTGGGAATTATTTAACGCCATTTTGGAAAAAAAACTTTCAAAAATCAAAAAATTTCAGAAAAAAAAACATTCGACGAAAACGTTTTAAGAACGTTTTGATTTCTTATGATTTTTGTGTTTCTAGTCATTTTCCACCAAACTAATTTTCATTTTCTCTATTTTATTATGACTGTCGAATAGGCTTAAGTTCTAGTTTTTCGTTCATATCTTTTCACCACACCACGCTGAAAAAAAGAGACATATTCAAAAATAAAAGATTTTGGTCGAAGATTTTGTACTGCTTGCATAAGAACCGGCTATCCTTGTTAAAGTTATGATTATTTTGATTTTTTAAAAATATTTATTAATAACATTTTTGTGTTATCATCGTTTCCTACTCAGATTAGTTCTTAGCGTAGAATTGATGAAATGGTATTTTGATTTAAGGGACAAACATTTTTTCTTTCCAATTGTAACAAGTTTAAAATGGTAGATTGTTGCTCCGATCGCTGCATTGAAAATGACGGGAGGTAGCTATGTATTGGCTACTTTTATCTGCCCGATATAACTAATTCAAAAAAAATGCGTCGCTAGTATGATATTGAAGCAGATTCAGTTGTGACTCTGAAATAACATTACGAGGCTAAACTGTGCACTAAATAGGCTGACATTTTGGTGTGTGTAGGTCTCTGGAATTCAGAGACAAGACTCTGAACATGTAAACATTTTGTCAGAAAGATCCAAGAAAATAAAAAATAAACAAAAAAAAGAATACAAGGAGTTGGATTCTTCCTTTTCTTTGATCTTTCCCGCTTACAACAGTTTGGTCTCGCAATTACACAAAATAGACAATTTGGCATCGTAATGAAACACAAACAAAAATTTGCAAAAAAATCCGTTTTTTTTATTTTGGTCTTCAAGTTGAAATCAGTCTATTCACATCTAATTGTTTCTAGATTATGAATTAGTTTTGCTTATAAAATCTATTTTGAAAGCTGAGCTAGCAAATCAATCTCCTCTTATTATCTCAAAATTACAAAACAAAATGAAGAAAAAAATTAATTTCGAAAAATTGTTCCTTTTTTGTATTTACTTTTTCCTTCAATTTCTTTAAAAACTTTTTTTGAGTTCCTATACTTCAATCATTTTATGCATGATCAATTTGTGTTAATTGCACTGCAACCGGCTGGTTACAGTTGTTGTTCCGACTTTCGATACGAAAGTAACGGAATATTTGTGCTCGGGGTGGGTTTTTTTCTTCAGACAAATTTCGACTTTTTATCTAGCCATTTTTGACGGAATTTTTAAATATCATTCGAAAGGTATTGTTGTCTTGAGCTCAAATTTGAAAAGATATTTTACCTGTGATCGTTTTTTGTAAATTTATGGGGGTTTAAAGATTGCCATTTTGGCTAATTTGGGACAATTAACGCGCGATATATTTCGCGCTATTAACGCGTAAGCGGAGAGTTAATCCGTCTTAAAAATCGTTCCAAATTGGTTTACCGAAGCTTATTTGCACTAATCAATTTGTTACAAGTAGCGAAATCTATCCTTTTTGTACTTTATATGGCGTGTGAGAGGATGATTTCCATAAAAAGTTTCAAATATAAGAAATGGCGGACGCCTTTCTTCAGGGATTCGACCCCCTGCCGACCCAAAGGGTCCCCCCATTTGTACTATTTTGAGATATCCTTTTTGGATGCGGACCTTTTTAAAAAAACTCCAAAAAGTGCATAAAAACGCCTTTTTTGGCCTGTTTTTTCAAAATTTTGCGTGGGGTGCAAAAGTTTTGGCCAAAGCAGGGTCTTTGTAGTGCTTTGGCTCAGAAAATTAATTTGGTCAATCTAAAAAAAGGTCGACAAAATTTTCAAATAATTTTTTGAAAATCTGCCTCCCCTCGAGAAAATCCGAGATCCGCCCCTGGTCGAAATATCAAAAACTTCAGCCAGTTTGGGTAATTATTGCGTTTTTCTGTACCAGCTCATGTTACTGCCCGCCTTTAAGAAAAGTGAAAACAAATCGATTTTAATGGATTTTCGTGGTCTATAATGTTGTAAATATAATCGATTCCCATGTTACGTGCAGACAACAAAATTAGACTAAAAATGGATTTTATAATAAGTAGGAAATCACATTAAATTGGATTTTTTCCACTTTATTTTTGTTTCGCGCGTCGTGCAAAAGATTGCAAGAATTTCAGCATTTATCAAGTGAGTGATGCGGAAACTTTGCAAAGCGAGTGTACGGCCTGGCCTAATCCATTCCAAATCCTAAACTCAAATTGCAAAAAGGTTCCGTTGAGCTCTCCCCCCCCCCCCCCCCCCCCAACGTTTGCCCCTTTGCTCCCCTTCAATCCCCCTAACGTTTGCCCCTTTGCTCCCCTCCCCCCACTGAACCCCCCACCTGAACACTCTCAACACACCCCCAGCCAGTTTGGGTAATTATTGCGTTTTTCTGTACCAGCTCATGTTACTGCCCGCATTTAAGAAAAGTGAAAACAAATCGATTTTAATGGATTTTCGTGGTCTATAATGTTGTAAATATAATCGATTCCCATGTTACGTGCAGACAACAAAATTGGACTAAAAATGGATTTTATAATAAGTAGGAAATCACATTAAATTGGATTTTTTCCACTTTATTTTTGTTTCGCGCGTCGTGCAAAAGATTGCAAGAATTTCAGCATTTATCAAGTGAGTGATGCGGAAACTTTGCAAAGCGAGTGTACGGCCTGGCCTAATCCATTCCAAATCCTAAACTCAAACTGCAAAAAGGTTCCGTTGAGCTCTCCCCCCCCCCCCCAACGTTTGCCCCTTTGCTCCCCTTCAATCCCCCTAACGTTTGCCCCTTTGCTCCCCTCCCCCCACTGAACCCCCCACCTGAACACTCTCAACACACCCCCCCCCCACCACCACCACCACCTGAACAACCCCCTTCCCCCCCCCCCCCACCTGAACCCACCTCCCACCTGAACCCAACCCCCACCTGAACGCACCCCCACCTGAACACGTTACGTTGGGGGGGGGGATTAATGTAAATGGGCAAACGCTAGGGGGTTAATGTTGAGTAATATAAAAAAGTAACAAAAATATTAAAGTTAGGTAGAAAAAATTTCAATTGAACAACAAGTAACCAACGTAACCAACTTTAATTTAAAACGTAGAAAAGACTTTATGTGCGTTGAAATTCGCATCTCAGTAAAGTGGAAAAAAAATCGATTATAATTTAGTTTCATTGTCAGTGTCGACAAAAGTGAAAATAAATCGATTTTAATGGATGAAAAAAGGATTTTGTTGCCTCGAAAAACAGTAATATTATAATCCATTTTTAATTGATTTTAATTGATTTGTTTCACTTTTGTGGACACTGACAAGGAAACTCAATTATAATCGATTTTTATTCATGGAACTCCAATGCGGGTGCTCTAACTTCTTTTTTTCAGGACTTCGTCCCCTCGTCAGATGCCGTAGTCGTCAGTCGGATCCTCGCAGCCGGCGCCACTATAGTCGGAAAAGCAGTTTGCGAAAACATGAGTCACTCTCAATTCTCGCAAACGGGTTTCCTGGGGCCGACACTCAACCCATACGACAAATCCCGTACCTCTGGGGGGTCGAGTTCCGGCAACGCGGTGGCACTCGCATTGCGCGAAGTGGAAATGGGCGTGGGCACTGACAACGGGTGTTCGGTGCGTGTTCCGGCGGCACTGTGCGGATGTGTGGGTCTGAAGCCGACTTTCGGACTCGTACCAGTGGAGGGAGTTGGTCCGAGTATGCGAGCGACTAACCATTTCGGACCAATGGCCTCAAATGTCGAGGTGGATAGTTCTTTCTGATAGTTCAATTACTGCTTAAATTTATTAAATTCTCATTCCAAAGCCTTTACCAATCTTTATTTTGCGCGATCAAAACAATCCGTTTTGCTTTTAAAGAAGTTAGATTTTGATTTAAAAAAATTTTTTTTTCCTTTTCTCTAGAAATTTTGGCTAACTTATGAAAAATTTTGATCCGATAATTGCATTTTTTCAAAAGCTGCACATTTTGAAACTGAAAACGCCATAAGAAGAAATCAAGTTAGTATATTATGCAATAAATGTTTTGTTAGTTTTCTTTACTTTTTGAAGGATTGTGCTTTGCTGCTCGATGTCATATCTGGCCCGGACATGTTTTCAAACCCAACTTCAGTAGCTTTCACAAAGCCGAATTCTTATTTGGACGAAATCAACCTAGGTGTGAACAAAATCAAAGCAGGCGTGATAAAAGAAGGCTTTCTCTACGAAGACGAGAACACTAAAAATGTGTCGGAGACTGTCTTAAAAACTATTGATCAATTGAAAAATCAGGGTATGCAATTGGAAGAAATTTCAATCCCGGAATTAATTGAAGCAAAGTCTCTTTACTACTTGCTTTCAATGCTCGAAATTGCCCATGTTTTTGAGAATAACGGTCAACCTTATGCAGGACGACAAGCAACTATGATTGACTTGAAGCGTGCTTTCAAAGATCTCAAAGTGGACGCAAATTTGCCTCAGAACACTCAAATTGCGATGATAGCTTCAAAACTATTTGCCGAAAGGATTTCAACGGAAAATATTTTTGAAAAAGCTATGAACAGATCTAAAGTTCTTTCGGAGTAAGTTTAACCAACGACCTTGAAATTTATCTAAGAACCATACAAATATCACGTTCAAGGTTTGTTATTTTTTGGAAACTACAAGAAAGTTTGGTCGATTGAACATTTTTTGGTCTATGTTACCAGGGCTGACTTAACAAACTTTTAATTTAGCATTTAGGTAATTTTTGTTTTTTGAGTACGTGAAAGAAAAAATTTCTTTCAAAAAATTACTGTTTTATAGGAAAATTGAGAATTTGTTGGCAAAATATGACGTTTTTATTTTGCCAACTACCCCTTACGTTGCTCCTAAGTTACCTCAGGAAAACGAGAACTACATTGAAGCACACGTGCCAATGAATGTGAACTGCTGTCTGTTCAACTTGACAGGACATCCTGCAATCAGTGTGAACTGTGGATTCGTCCAACCGCAAGAGGGCGATGACAAAAGGACAGACATGCCTGTTGGAATGCAGATTGTGTCTAGATACATGCAAGAATCGAAAGTTCTGAGGGTAGCAAAGACGGTCGAGGAGTTAGTTGGTCGACGAACTGTCTTCATCAACCAGGAAAAATGAACCCTAATGAAACAGTTCTTTTTTTAGTTAGACAGAAGTCAATTGTTTTAGTTTGAGCTTAGCTTTAACAGCCCCTTAGTTTTACCGAAAATAAAAATTTGATGTTGTTGACATTTTTTCCCAAGGCGCTGGAACAAAGAAAACCGGACACTTCAAGTTGCACAAATTGTAATGAAAACGAATTTATGCTTCCGACATTTAAAAACCCAAAGCCTCTTCTGCAGATAGTAAGAAGGACACCAATTGTCCAAAAAATTACCCAAACGAATCATCCTTGAAAAATGAATAACTTGGACTTGCACTAGAAAATTGGACGTTGAAACTGTTAGGCCTTCCTATAAGAAAGCTTTTCCCGGATTTTTATCGTATTTAAAAAAAAGTAGGCATTAAGTCTTAACTGTATGATAAGTTTCATACTTTGCTTTTGTCTATTCTAAAAAAAACCACCTATTTTAATTATTATATCATCTAATTTTTGTTAGGCCTCTAATCGTCCATTTTTTTAATCCATTTTTGGCCCACACGGTCTGAATCCGAAATCTTTCGGGCCGCACAGTCTGAATCCAAATCCTTTCGGGCCGCACAGTCTGAATCCGGATTCCTTCGGTCCACACGGTCTGAATCTGAATAGTTTCAGTCCGCACAGTCCGAAACCGGATTCCTTCGGTCCACACAGTCTGAATCCCGTTTCCTTCGGTCCACACAGTCTGAATCTGGATTCCTTCGGTCCACACGGTCTGAATCTGAATTCTTTCTATCCGCACAGTCTGAATCCGAACTGCTTCGGTCCACACGGTCTGAGTCTGAACTCTTTTAGTCCGCACAGTCGGAATCCGGACTCCTTCGGTCCACACGGTCTGAAGCTGAACTCTTTTAGTCCGCACAGTCTGAATCCGGATTCCTTCGGTACACATGGTCTGAATCTGAATTCTTTCAGTCCACACAGTTTGAATCCAAATTCTTTTGGGCCGCACATTCTAATCCGGATTCCTTCGGTCCATACAGTCTGAATTCAAATTCTTTTGGGCCGCACAGTCTGAATCCGGATTCCTTCGGTCCACACGGTCTGAATCTGAATAATTTCAGTCCGCATAGTCCGAATCCGGATTCCTTTGGTCCACACAGTCTGAATCTGGATTCATTCGGTCCACACGTCTGAATCCAAACTCTTTTGGGCCGCGCAGTCTGATTTGAGATTCCTTCGTCCACAAGGTCTGAATCCGAATTCCTTCGGGCCACACGGTCTGAATCTGAACTTTGTCGGGCCGCACAGTCTGAATCTGGATTACCTCGGTCGAACAGTCTGAATCTAGATTCTTTCGGTCCACGCACTCTGAATCCGGATTCTTTCAGTCCACACAGTCTGAATCCAAATTTTTCAAATTTTTCGGGCCGCACAGTTTGAGTCTTTATTCCTTCGATCCACACGGTCTGGCTCTGAATTCTTTCAGTCCACATAGTCTGATTCCAATTTTTTTTCGGTCCACACACTCTGAATTTGGATTCTTTTGGTCTACACAGTCTGAATCCTAGTTTTTTCCGGCCGCACAGTCTGAATCTGGATTTCTTCGGTACACACGGTCTGAATCTGAACTTTTTCAGTCCACACAGTGTGAATCCGGATTCTTTCAATCCACTCAGTCTGAATCCGGATTCTTTTTAGTCCACACAATTTGAATCCGGATTCCTTCGGTCCACATGGTCTGAATCTGAATTCTTTCAGTCAACACTGTCTGCATCCAAATTCTTTAGGCCCACACAGTCTGAATCCTGTATTCTTCAATCCACATGGTCTGAACTTAGCGTTTTCTGGTCTACACGGTCTACACTTACTATATTCTGGTCCCAACGGTCTGAACATGGTAAACTTTGATCCACATGTTCTGAACATTAAACCGCGACCTCGACCGAGATAACATTCTTTTGTTTTTACGTGAACCTGCACCACTTTTGTACTATATCATAAAAAGTTATTTGCAGACATGTACCACTTTTGTACTATATCACAAAAATTATTTGCATACATTCTTTAAAATGCTAGAATTCACTTAAAGTTCACTTTTTCAAGCATTTTTTGTTTTTACAGCAAATTCGCTCCCAGCGGATGTGAATAGCTAATCTTTTATTATGTTTCCCACTGAGAAAACAGGAGACTTGCAAAAGCGTCCTGTTTTTGTAAAATCATTACAAGGGGACATTTCCGATGTCCGACTAGGCCAATGGAAAAGATCGACTAAACCCATGGAAAGGATCCCATGGACAGCGTATGCAATTTAGGCTAAAAAAGGCTTGCAGCAGGATCATCGAAATCGCCTATTGTGTTTTCGAATTTCTCCCGTTGAAAGGGGTTATCAATCGAATTTTTGGAATATTCATGTTGGTCAAACATTGCAATGGGATCTTTCAATAGGATTTCAAAGATGCCATGGCAAGCTTCTTACAACGAGACTTTTTCAAGATTTTGATAAATAGATATTTCCGCAGAAGTTTTCCTAAATTTTAATGACAACATCAAATTAGATCGAAGTTAGCTATTGGAAAGATCCACTTGAAAACCCACCTCAACTACTGTTCCTCGAGAAATCATTAAACTTACAGGCCACTTCCCAAATATTTTATCTTCCCAAAAGTTTTTCAGTTAAGAATTGCCAAAAATAAAAGAGTGTTAGAAAATAAACGCAACTTTGCTTGTTATGTGAGTTTTAAGCTGATACTCATTTTTGTTTTAAAGATCAAATTTTACTTTAATTAGTGATGTAATAAGTTGGTTTGTATAACTAATCTTTCAACTATCTTTTAATCTTTTAATTATTTAATCTCATATAACTAAGTTAATCTTTGTTCTTTTCAACTAAGCTAATCACAATTCCTATTTGAAAATCGCAACCAATTAATACTTTTTTCAAATTTTTTTTTTCAGTTAGTTAATTTGAAAAAAAAATGAGATAGTTATTCTTGACACCGAACAATGCTGGTTATGAAAACTTTGGAAGGCCTTTAAAAATATTAAACTTTGTAAACTCACGTTTTAGAATTTTTTTAATTCTTTGAAAAGTTCACAGTCTGTAACATCTCGTTTCGAGACTTTTTTTTGGTTCCCACGTACAGAATGTTCTGACGCATACGTTGACGCTTTAATTGTTCCATAGCAAAAGTTTTTAAAATGCAAGCTAACTAATAAACCTTGTACGTGACCGTCGCACAGAGACGCGCCCAACAGGAACAGCAACCATTCTAATAAACCACCGCGATTGTTTTATAACCTTAACCTTCCTTCCAATGCGAACAACCATGCCATCAGTAGAATCAACTCAGCAGCTTTCACTTCTAAAATAAAATGAAGACATTGTTTTGCTAATTTGAAAAAAAACCAGCTGACTGAAGGGGTATACGGTTTAACGGATAGCCCTTGACTAGGTTCTTGCAGTCAAATTATCAGATTAACCACCATCCGATATTTGTGTAGTAATGCAACTAGCCTCTTTGCTACATCATTGAAAAAGATTGATACTTACAAGACAAGAAAGAAAATCCAAAAACAAGGAACAAAGACTCAAATAACAAAAAAGAAGGATTCAAATAATTACTCGAACCAGCGTGTGGCACTTTGAACTTTTCATTTATCATTTCTTTCGCGAGTGTCTTCGTCTTCTACTGCTCATAAAATTTACAATATTTTACAGAATCTCAAAAAAAGCAATTCCGGTAATGATTACGCAAATTAATTTGCCTTATTAACGCTAATTTCTACTTTGCAACAACAACAAAAAGTAATACATGTCCGAAAATGACACCATATTATTGCAAACATGACTATTATGCATTAATACCGATTAATTTTTTTACCAGAACAACCCGTATTAACAATTTTCTTTACGTTCATCTTGATCCGAGTTTTTATGTGAACTTTAATTTTACGGCGATAACAAATTACAGCTTTTAAAACGTGATACTTGTTATCAGGGGTGTAAAAAAGATTATTGTGAATCCGATAATCGCCGATAAGATATATCGATAAAATCTATCGTTCGAAAAAAAATTATCGAGATAATTATCGATTGAAAAAAATTATCGTTCCGATAACTTTTATAGTCAAATTTTACCGAAATCTAGCAATTTAACTGAAATATTTCGCTTCCAGTTGTGGAAATCGAATAATAGGTTAGTGAACTTTACTGCATCAGACAGTGTTTGTTTATTGTCTGGAGCGGGAAAGCGTGTCTTCAAAGTTCAAAGTAAGCAAATAAACCTGGAACTGACACTTCCGCTTCACTGGCTTGACAAACTCCAGGACAGTCTTGCGAAAAATTAAAAAGTTCAGCTGCAGTTTTTTTTCGAGCGATAATTTTCGATATATCGATATATCTATCTTTAAAAAGTATGACAAAACGATAATCTATCGAATGACTCCGATAATATCTATATCGATAATTTTACAACCCTGCTTGTTATGAGTGACATTTTCTGCCAAACAAATGGACAGCATGAAATGTGGAAGACAACTATTCACAATCTAGCTATATCACTGTGAGCTGCAGCATTCCGTTTGGTGTGATAGGAGTTAAGATCAGGAGTTCATACATCATTGTTCCGACTTTCGATACGAAAGTAACGGAATATTTGTGCTCGGGGTGGGTTTTTTTTTCTTCAGACAAATAATTTCGACTTTTTAACTAGCAATTTTTGACGGAATTTTTTTATATCATTCGAAAGCTATTGTTGTCTTGAGCTTATATTTGAAAAGATATTTCACCTGTGATCATTTTTCGTGAAGTTATGAGGGTTTAAAGATTGCCATTTTGGCCATTTTGACCAATTTGGGACAATTAACGCGCGATATAATTCGCGCTATTAACGCGTAAGCGGAGATTTAATCCGTCTTAGAAATCGTTCCAAATTGGTTAAAAGGAGCTTAATTACCATAATTGGTTTGTTACAAGAAGCGAAATTTATCCTTTTGTACTTTATATGGCGTGTGGGGGGATGATTTTCATATAAAATTTCAAATTTTAGAATTTTTTTTTTCGATTTTGTTTTTTTTTTTGCATTCAATTTTTTAATTTTATTACTGCTCCATAAACCTTAAAAGGCAGTCGGAACATTCAGG